GCGTGGGGGACCATATGCAGTGCTGGTATCAAATCAGGGTTGGCAATAGGCAAGACAAACATTTGAACCTTTATACTATTTCTCTCACTCCACAAATTGACTAAAAAAAAAAATTTCCAAGAGATGAGAAACATGGCCCAGTGATAAAGCACATGCCTTGCATGCATGAGACCTGGGTTTGATTCTCAGGAAGGCAAAAACAAATTAAGACATCTCTGAGTCTGATTTCTAAACCAGGGGGTAATAAAAATTTCCTCTGGTACAAACTCAACTCAAAGACCTGTATTTATTTCCAGAGTTTCATTGAAACATGACATCTGATCCTTTCTATATTGTCTATAGTTGACTTCATGTCATAATGACAGGGCTGAGCAGTAATGACACAGTAGAGGGGCACAGAGTCTAAAATGCTATCTAATCTGTTAGACCATGACCAAACAGATGTTACTCTGGCAAACTCACTTTATTACTCATCCTACATAAAAAAGCTGGATTTTGGCTAATGTGGTAAGGCAGGATCTCTCTTTGAGAAACCAGGACTTAGCATCATTTCATTTCCTTAAGTCTTGAAAATTAAACTCACCACTGGGACTTAGAATCAGAATTAACACCAAACCAAGAGCCAGAGAGACAGTATGTGGGGGTCGGGGGGGAAGAAGCTCATGACTTGAGTGCTACTGACCTGGTTCAATCCCTGCACCACACCTCCAGGAGTGATTCCTGATTGCAGAGATATAAGTCATCTCTGAACAATGAAGGATGTCACCCCAAAAGGAAAAAATAGAAATAAAGGAAAAAGAGGGGCCAGAAAGATTAAATTGTATAGCAGGTAGGGCACTTGTTTTGCATGCGGCTGATCCATGGCATCCCTGGCATCCCAATCTGGTCCCCCAAGTACTGCTGGAGTAATCCCTGAGCACAGAGTCAAGAGTAAGCCCTGAGTAGGTTGGCTAAGATGCACCATTCCCCCAAAAAATATGAGAAAAAAGACCACACTGAGCTTTCAACAGATTTAGAATGACTAATTGGTAGGGAAAGGGGCGAATACTGGTATAACCGACATTTGTTAGTTGCCTCTCTAGTTCCCACCTCTGTTCTCTCTTTTATCTCTCTTAAGATAGGTGTCACCCTGCCAAGAAGGGAAGAATCAGGATTTGTGAAGCAGGGAAAGGGCAACCTGTAGGTATCCCAGTGGTAAAGCTGATGCTACATCGCTTCTGAGGGTGGAAAGAATACTGTTAAGCCCGCTGGTTCAGGATTTGAAGAAATTAGCATTTCTTGATAATAAAAATACATAAATTTTTAATTTTATGAGCCAATATATACCCTTTATTATGTGAGCTTGGTTAAGCCAGATTTTGGGTAACTTTCAATTAAAAGAAATTTTCCTGTTTTGGAAAGCTGAGTATTTATTTACTATTACTATTTTACTTGCCCTCTCGGAGAGCCCAGCAAGCTACCGAGAGTAACCTGCCCGCATGGCAGAGCCTGGAAAGATACCCATGGCATATTCGATATGCCAAAAACAGTAACAATAATGGGTCTCATTCCCCTGATCCCAAAAGAGCCTCAAAAAAGGCAGAGTTGGGAAGGACAAGAGGAGGGGCTGTTAAAATCTCAGGGCTGAGACGAATGGAGATATTACTGGCGCCCACTCGAGCAACTCAATGAACAAGGGGATGACAGTGACAGTGATATTTACTTAACCCCCTCTTCCCTTGTCAAACACACGCTGACTCAGGTGCTCAAATGTACTTCTAGTTGTGCTTCCTGTTAAAGGAGTTGCACTTCGGTTGTACAATTACATACTTAACCACACGGCTGTCAAGGACCACACTCCTTTAGCTCTGGTGCTTTCACACACATGGATGCTGAGGCTGTGCTCTTTTTTGTTGGTTTACTTTGGGGCCACATCCAGTTGTAATTGGCTGTACTTGGGAATCACTCCTGGCATTAGTTGGAGGACCAGAAGTGATGCCAGAGATTGAACTCTGGTCGCCAAAATGCAAGGCAAGTGGCCCATCTGCTTTACTATCTCTCTGGCTTGGGCCTGTGCTCTTTAGATGAAGTGCTCAGACACATTCTGGTGCAGCGCTCATCAGGGTATGCTTGGGTGCACGTGCCTCTGCTTATCAGGGATTGCACTTCCAAACTATGGAACAGCTTGCATTTGGGCTTTTTGTTGTTGTTGTTGTTTGCCTGGAGTTGTGATCTGTGGATGTGGTCACACTTACACAAGCAGCAGTATCGCTGGAAACCACTTGCAAAGCTGGGAATCGCAGACAACAGAAATACCAGGACCAAACTGCAGTTGCTGGAGTCACACAGGGCCCAAGGGCAGCATCAGGGATTGAGCGCTTGACTGTAAGCTTGCAAAGTAGATACTTTAAAACACTGAGTTCTTCCTCCAGGAGGGGCATGTTTTTATACCTGTTAGCCATTATTAAGTGCTAGGGCATGGTTGTAGTTCCTAGCCAGGAATACTAGAGACTTTTGTCCAACCTCTCACCAAGAATTCTGAAGCAACTGAGGGAAGAACTCATAACTGAAGGAAAGATGGAGAGTGAATCAACCAACAGACTCAGGCTACTAAAAAATCATCACATTAAATGCCACAAGGGAATAAAAGGACTCGATCTTGATTCCATATTATTTATGGTAAGCAGGGGGAAGAGGTGCATCATACATTTGATTGTACTTTACGACAAAGACAAATTATAAATGGGACAATAAGAACAGGAACTGGGAAAAATATAAAGAAGATAAATTGGAAATTTTGGAGAGTTATCATTTATACCGCAGGAGGCATGTGGGTCCCTCAACTAGTGGTTCAAAGTTGAGGGATTTTGGAGGATGCCCCGAGCAGGGACTTCTGGTACCAGAGATTACCTGTTCCTGGCCCCCCCATCAATACTCAGGTGTCTCCAGGGCTGCACCCAGTGATGCCCTGGAGGACCATGTAGTGTCAAGGATGAACTAGGGTAAACCTCAATGCAAGACAAGTAACCTAAGTCCTACATGATCTCTTTGACCCTCACATTTATGGCAGCTCCCCACTGTGAGCTTCCATCATTCTGGCATCTATTATACTGTTACAACTCTTCCATGTACCACTCTGTGAATTCACTGAGGCAGGTCAGAGCAATGAGCCTGCATTGGTTTAAAAACATCATTCCTGAGCCAGAAACATAGCTCAACAGGATGAACAGAGGTTTTGCATGCAATAAGTTCAGACTGGAGTCCCAGCACCAAAGAGTTGCCCAGCACATAACTGGGCGTAGCCTCTAGTATGGCTGCTAGGTATGGTCTCCAGACGGAAAAATACTAAATAGAAATCCCTGAATCTCTAATAAGCAGGCTAATCTTAAAACAGTTCTCGATTATCTTCACAGGAAATACTTGGTCATGTCACCAATCTGATTATTAAGCCCACTAAGAAACAGGGGCTAAGGGTTAAATCCCAAATTCTAGGTTTCGTACTCTGATGGGCAGGAGTGGTACAGTATTTCCCTCATTTTATGTGAAATGACTCAAAATTCATCAAGGCCCTCATGTCTCCACTGTGGCTTACACTTTTCCCATTCAAGTACTTTTATAGAGCCCTTTAAATACAAACTCACGGCAATGAGAAACGGGTGGGATTATCTTTACTACCCTAAAGAGTACATGACTAGTGTCAAGATACAATTAAGTTACAATTTTGAATTAGTTTAGTTAGGAGCAGCACCATCTGGCTTAGATATTGGGCTTGCTTAAATTCTGTCATGGATGCTCTTAAAAATAATCTAACCGGGAAAGCCATTTAAAGTCCTATTAATTTCACGCAACTCAACAAATATCCAGACAGCGCGCAGGACGCTCGCGTCCTTAAGCGACAAATCAAACAAAGGGAACTGTTTCGAAGACTTTGAGACTTGGAACCCTTTCTTGGGACTACCCTACCCTTTGTCTTGACGACCTATTAAACACACATTTCAACCTGTTAAAACTACAAATTATGCTACGTCTCATAAAGAAAGCTGGCTTATTACTTACTCCTCTACTCTCCGCGTTCCTAGTGGAACTAGTCCGGGACCACTAGTTCGGGGTCCAAACTAGTGCTCAATACATGTTTAATGAGTAAACGCGCCCGGCCGACCACGCTAACTTCTGCGTGCCGTACCTGCAGTGGTGAGCACCTGTCATCAAGCATCACCGGAAATAACAGGTAGCAATAAACGAAACGTACCCCACAGCTCAAAGTGGGGCTCGGGAAAGTCTAAGTAAGCCTATCCGGGGAGGTTGGGTAGCTCTTTCGACCCTCGGATTAATGAAAACAGGCAAGAGGCAGGGTGGAAAACCAAGACAGGGTGAACACGAGGTTGAATTCCCAAACGAGAGAGAAAAAACAACCAACCAACCAACCCACCCACCCCAACAGCCCCCACCAACACCAACTCACTCCCACGGCGTTTCACCCGCAGCAAAGGCAGGGGATCCCCCTCCCCAAGGGCAGCATCCCGGCCGGGAGCCCCTCGCCGCCACGCCCCCGCGCGGGTCCCGCCGGGCCGCCGCAGCCCGCGGGGGGATGCCCCGGGGGTGGGGGTGGGGCGCGTCGTCCCGAGGCCGCGGCGCCCACCGGTCCCGGCACTGGCGCTGGGTGGGGAGGAAGGCGAGGGAAGCGCGAGGCAGGTGGGCGGGGAACGGCTCGCTTCGACCCGCAGGACTCGCACCTCCCAGCGGGACCGGAGCCCAGCCAAGCCACCCTCGCGAGCCCCGCGAGCCCAGGGGTCCCGGGACGCGACCCCGGAGGGCCCGGCCGGCCGCCCCCTAACACCCCCCCGCCCCTTCCTCCTTCGAGCCGTTAAGCGCCGCGGCCCCACCCCTCGCGGCCGCTGCCCCCCGTTCCCCATCGCCCGAGCCCGCGCCCCCGGCCGCTCGCCGCCCCGCACGGCCGCTCGCCGGGGGTGGGCGTCGGGCTGCCCGCCGCGCCAGGAGGTCGACAAGCCGGGCCCCCTTACCTGGACTTTCCTCCGCCCGGCCGTGTTCTGCCGGTGATGGGCCGCCATTTTGCATGTTGACACTCCTACGTCACTTCCGGAAGTGCCGCGGCCCGGGCGGATATCCCGCCTCTTCCCCTCTGTCCAAGGGCAGGTGTGGAGGCTCAGGCTAGGTTGGTTGGCCAAGTGCACCCCCACGTCCACCCCCACCTCGTGGAGCGTTTCTCTCGGCGACCCCTGCTGCTCCACCCACACCCCTGCACCGCGGAGGAAGGAGAAGTAACCCCTCTGCCCCCAAACAAAACCGTGTGTGCATCTAATGCCGGCAAGAGATCAGAACGGTTTTGACTGTTCTCTTGTGTGACGCCTCGCGAGGTTCCGGGCAGGTATTAGGAAAATCGTGAATGAATTGATAAGGCTGGGTTGCAAGCTTCAAGGGCGCTTGGAAGCCCCCTCCCCACCCCCCCGACTCCTGCTCGGTCGCCGGCTCCGTCGCTCCTCCAGGTGGTTCCCAGCCCTGCTCTTCGCCTGCGAGGAGCATGGAAAGTTCCACCCCTCACAGGTTCCAGCCCCACCCCTGAGCCCTGCTTTGGGAGTCCCCGCCCCCTGGATAATGTTGCATAGGAGTGTCTGAATATTAGACCTTCAGCTCCCCTGCATTGCTAGGTAGTCAAGGGTGATGGGGCTTTGGCTACCAAGTGCCTTGACATGCTGTTAATAAAGTGAAAAAAAAAAATAGTAACACTTGCAAGGGACCTGGCTCCAGTCTGCAGGAGGAGCAAAGTATCGGTTTCAGTAAGGGACGGAAGGCTAAAGTACTAGTTAGAACTGTATCCAGAGACAAAGCTCCCGATCCCCAAGCAGTACGCTCTATCTGTTTCAAATCATCTCTACGGAGAAAAACTGTTAAACCGGCTGAGAGTTTGGCGCTGACTATAGGGTTGTGTTGAAATGATGTTTTGAATATGCTGGGTTAGACAATATATTTTTGCTTGCTTCTTGCAGTGTAACTATTAGTAACTTAAAATTACTGTGTGAGTCATATTCCTAGTGCACGGAACTGTCCTGTTGTTCATCGATTTGCCCCCATGGGGCACCAGTAACGTCTCCATTGTGACACTTGTTACTGTTGTTGGCATATCGAATACTCCACAGGGAGCTTGCCAGGCTCTGCCGAGAGGGCAGGATACTCTCCGTAGCGTGCCGGGCACTCTGAGAGTGTAGGAGGAATTGAATCCGGGTCGGCCGCAGGAATATTTAGGAAAGTTTTTACCTAGCCAATTCCTTTTGAAAATGAGTAAATATAGTGGTCAGAAAGATTATTAAGGTGCGTGTCCAGAATGTGGCCCACCTCACTTGGATCTCAGGCACTACATAGTAACTCTGGGAGTGACCCAGAGCACAAAGCAGGGAGTAGCCCTCTAGCATGGGTGGTGTGGCACAACACTCCCTGTCAAAAACCAAATTAATTGATTAATAATTAAGGGAGTAGGCTCTGAGTAGCAGAATTCTTACACAAAACTGGCTCTGACAGTTTGTAAATAATACGCTGCATTTGCAGACATTATTTTGTTTTTCTAAATTTTATTTTTACATTTTATTTTCTTAAGGTTGTTCACATTAATTGATTACATTCAATATATCAACACCAATCCCACTACCACTACACCTTCCCACCACCATTATTTCAAATTTTCCTACCACGTTCAAGCCTGCCTGCTACAGGCAGATTCTAGATCTTTTTTTTTTTTTTTTGCTTTTTGGGTCACACCCGGCAATGCACAGGAGTTACTCCTGGCTCTGCATTCAGGAATTACTCCTGGCGGTGCTCAGGGGACCATATGGGATGCTGGGGATCAAACCCGGGTCAGCCGCGTGCAAGGCAAACGCCCTACCCGCTGTGCTATCGCTCCAGCCCCTAGATCATTTATTTTCAGTTGCTTACTATGAGTATCATGAGAGATGGCTCCTAGCATTCTAAATATGTTAATGATTGGGGTCCAGAGACATCTCTGTAGGGAGTTAATCTGTTTTGAGATTCATTTGTGAATCTCTGGATCAAGGCGGGTGGCACAATTAAATATGGCCCGGAGGCGGTTTGTGGCTATGACAGCCAAGACCCTGAAGGGGTGGGCAGGGAGTTGGGGAGGGACAAATCGTCTCTGTCACCATGTAGCCTGGGGTCTTCAGAACCTGTTCCTGTGTGTACCTGGGTTTTTCTTCTGAAATTTTGTGGTCGTTGGGGGCTTCATCTGGAGTGGGTGGAGAGGGGACACCCGCTCCATCTGAGGAACCCCAGTGAAATTGGCTTGGCATAGGGGTCCAGAGAGATCTCTGGCAGTCTGCTGACAGACATTATTTTCTTCATACATTCACTTGCTAAAATGTTATTTAACACCTTTTAAGCGCCAAGCACGGTCTTAGATGTTAGGATTCTGGTTGTGAGTTCACATAATCATAAAGTGAACTTTATAATTTAAGTCCAAAGATAAATCAGGAAATAACATATATATGGAGATGAATGATAAATATGGAGATGAATGCTCTGAAGAAACATGATGCTATTTCAAGGGAGGGACCCTTGAGTCAATATTTGAAAGATGAGGAATGAAAACAGTTGATGCATAGGCCGTGTGGCAGGAGGAAATATGGGTTAGTCTAGGAATTAATAACTGAGTGGTGAGGTACAGAGAATAAGGGGGAGGATTATATACAAGTCAATCCAGTAAGGATCTCAAGGTAAGTAGGTAGCTTTTGAAGCTTTAAAATTAAAGGAGAAACTATTGGAAGGATTTAATTTGGGCAAAGACATCGGCATTTTAAAAAGTAGACAAATTTTTTAAAAAATTTTTATTAGTGAAACACCATGAGGTACAGTTGTAGACTTACGAATTTTTGTGCTTGGGTTTCAGTTATACAAAGATCCAGTACTCATCCCTCCACTAGTGCCCATTCTCCATCATTTACATTTTTAAAAAAATTTTTGTTAGTGAAACACTATGAGGTACAGTTGTAGATTTACGAATTTTTGTGCTTAGGTTTCAATTGTACAATGATCAAACACCCATCCCTACACCAGTGCCCATTTTCCACCACCCCGGGTCCCAGTATCCCTCCCACCCCCCATCCCCCCATTCCACCCTACCTCTGTGGCAGGGTATTCCCTTTTGTTCTCTCTCTCCTTTTGGGTGTTGTGGTTTGCAAAAGAGGCATTGAGTGGCAATCATGTTTGGTCTATAGTCAAAAGTAGACAAATATTTATTGAGTTCCCACAGTATGCTACACGCCATTCTGGCACTGTGCTCTGTGAAATATGCGAGTACTTGTCAGAAATGGATTTCTGTACAGTTGTCCTACTTCGAACCTGAGGAATTTTGAGTTTGTAAACTTCTTTTAATGATCAGAATGTCCAGGTCTCCATCTTGAAGTTCATTTTCCTGGAAGAAGAGTGGTCTTGGGTTCATGGATGGAAGCTAATTGTCAGGCAGGGAGAGACCAGGATTAGAGAATTGGTAACAAAGAAGACATGGGAAGAGAGATGGTGCTGGGCCTTGCAGAATGAATTCTAAGAATCATATGGGAGGTCTGGAGCAATAATACAGCAGGCGGGTGCGGGGGGCATTTGTCTTGCACATGGCTGACCTAGATTTGATTCCTGGAATCCCATATGGTCCCCCAAGCACTGCCAGGAGTAACTCCTCAGTGCAGAGTCAGGAGTGAGCCCTGAGCACATCCGGTTTGCCCCCCACCAAAAAAAAAAAAAACTAAGAAAGACTCATATGGATTGAGCGAGCTTCTCTGTATGTGAAACTCACTATCTCTATCTTTCTTTTGTGCTTTCATTTTTGGACCATACCCAGCAGTACAGGCTGGAGTGATAGCACAGCGGTAGGGCATTCGCTTTACAAGCGGCCAACATGGCCGACCCGAGTTCGATTCCTCCGCCCCTCTCGGAGAGCCCGGCAAGCTACCGAGAGTATTTGATATGCCAAACACAGTAACAACAAAGTCTCCAATGGAGACGTTACTGGGCCCGCTGGAGCAAATCGACGATCAACGGGAGGGCCTTTACCTTTACCTTTACCTTTACCCAGCAGTACACAGGAGCAACTTTCACTCAATGGTCAGAGGTCACTCCTGGTGGTACTGGGAATTGAACCCAGGGCTCCTTCAAGTATAGCTTGCGCTCAGCCCTTTGAGCTCTCTCTCTGGACCTCACTCTCCTTTTCCAGGTTCTGCTTATTCAGTGGAATCATAAATAATTGACAATGCTACCAGGATTAAAGCTATGCCCAGGAGTACCATCTCGCTGCTGTGTTCAGAGTAGCAGCAGCAGGTACTCACCCAGGAAGAAGGTCCACTGGCCACTAGGAAGAAATTTTATTCCATTGGCCTTCCCTGAGTATTTGGGGAGAAGAGAAGTTATTGTTCCTTTCTGAAACACCCTTCCTCTAGTTTTAGATGTTCTGCTGTCACCACCACTGACAAGGCACTTACCTGTCAGATAGCACTGTAGCACTGTCCTCTCGTTGTTCATCGATTTGTTCAAGTGGGCACCAGTAATGTCTCACAACAAATTGTGAGACTTGTTACTGTTTTTGGCACATCAAATATGTCACGGGTAGCTTGCCAGGCTTTGCTGTGCGGGCAAGACACTCTCGGTAGCTTGCTGGGCTCACCTGTCAGATAAAAGGGACTTAAATAGTTTACACCCTGTCATTGTATCCTATATTGCAACTTATCAAGAAACTCATCCTTGGATTAGGGAGATGACTCAAAATGCTGGAGCACACTTTTGAGTCCACTGGATGACTTCATATCCCAGAGGTTCTGGATGACTTCACATCCCAGAAGTTCTTGTTGAATCCTGGGCCCTGCGTGGTCCCCTGCGCACTGCCACAAATGACTCCCGACCACCCCCCCCACCACAACCACTATAGCAAACATGCCAGGAAATAGCAACTAATCTCTCTGGGTGTTATCCCAAAACAAAAAGTAAACTTACTCTGAAATGAAATAACTAATGCGGAGGGCTACTTCCCACTTTGATGTCATTCCATATCATTCCACCCAGAAGCACCTGGTCTTTTTTGGAGACTTAGCTATGGTGCCTCTTGGGAGAAA